ATCACTAGAAACTTATCATATAATATCTAATGGAGATAAAAAAAACATAAGTAAAAACCTCACTAACTCAACACTATCAACCGGTAACTCGAAAGTCAACAGCTAACAGGGTGCACGCAAAACAAGGAAATTTTTCAGAACATTTAGTTTCAATTGTTGAACATTTGACTTTTTTTAAAGATTGTTTACTCATCGTTTATGTGTCAATACTCATGTAAGTAGTAAGTTTAAGTAACAATTAGGCCTATTAGACTGTAATATATCCATTTATTGAAACCCATCGAAAAATGCAATGTACTGGATAACTCGACAACCCCCAACTAAACAACCTCCTGTCCACAAATTGTCGAGTTAGTGAGGTTCTACACTCAACAAAGACAACATTCTACATTCTGAATAGTTAAAATGGATTCATTATACTCTTACCCCAAGGTTGAAATATGTCAAACATTTCATCTCCAAATCAGCATTATCAAGGGTAAATCTTGTAAGTTACATTTGTATGTATCACTTATCTAGGTGCTATTTAATGCTAAAAGCAATTTTTCATCTACCTTGTTCCCATGTACAGAAAACAGGTAGTTTGTGTAACACAAATTTTTGGGAGTTTATAATAGTCCTCTATGTCATTATTGGCTTAATGTGTAATTGAAAAATCTGTTTCAGTCTTCCATGTACTTGTAGCTGCTAACATTATTTTGTTGCAATAATCCTATGACCCTGATTTAATAAAATGTTAATTTCAAATGCATGTTTACTTAATGTGTAGGGTTTATATAACGAATGTATAAAAAATACATTATTTGGACTATAATTAGTATCCTCCAACCATTTATAATTGTTTATTTATTTTGATTGTCTGTTAGTTTTTATTTCCAGTTTGCACATCACCTCAGGAGTTGCGTTATTATCACCTAGGTAAAATCCAACGGGGATTTGGCAAGATTTGAACCCGATACTTCAGGGACCGAAGTGTCGTGCTCCACCACTAGGCCATCTGATGGTGTATAAACCAACCAACAAATCATTAGATGGAAAAATACCACAAGATCGTTTATATCCATGTTTATCACGTTGTTTTACGTATTGACGTCCGTCTTCGCTGAAATATCCATAAACTATTTTAATGCAAATTTGACGAATGACTTAGTGAAATTGTAGCTAGTGACGAGAACAGTGAGATTTCAGCTCGTCGTACACAACTGAGAAACTATCGAACAAGTCTATTTATTTCTTTGATTAAATAAATTGTAGGAATGATTGTCCCTAATTATAATTCAAAAGGCTAATACACATTTAAATAAATATCGTCACTATCTTTTATATTTTGACTTAGAGATTTGATTACTGTATGCTCATTGTCATCGAAGTCTGAATTGGAGCTTTCAGAAGTAAATATTGACCAGTCTCCATGGCAACAATAATATATATCTACGTTGTTTACATGTTTACAGTTGGACTTTGGGAAATAAAAATCGATTGGTCTCCATGGCAACGTTCAGAAAACTACGTAAACATTGATAGTGTTTACTCTCAGGAATAGTGTTAATTTTAAACAAAAATATCTCTATTGGATATTTTGTAGACTATGAGAGATATTTTTAATCTATGGTTATACTATTTTGTGTTACTTTTTTGTTTTTATCAATCCACGCGCCGTTAGCACGACGTTTTTTTAAGTTAACTGTACAAACCCTATCTTTGGTCCTAATATCTTCTTTTGGTCGGATAGCATAATTAATTTGTTGACCTGATTGGTCTAGGCTAAGTAATATGAAAAACAATTCCGGGCTCGTTCCTCGCGTCAGTCGCGACCAGGGACGGAAAAAATAATTTGTTGACCAATGACGAATATTAGCCTACGAACTGCTGGATTAGGACCCACCAGAGACTCGGATTAGCGCAGATCTAAATGACGCAACTCTACCTCCACACTACCGGTCAGGCTGCCTACCACACTAAGGATAATATTTGTATATTAAATTTTACTTTTGATTCGACCCTAAACCTTTAATTCAGCCATATCAATTATCAATCATGGAGATTCCATTGAACGCCACCTAGGTGCGTATTTTAACCCAAATATTATTGAAGGATGAGTGTAGAATGGTGTGTGATGATCTGTGTAGGTTTGTTACTGACTAGGATCAGCTGTTTCGTTAGTCAGGATCATATCGTGCAACCCATACTTGATCGCAAGTTAGTCAGTGCCCTGCCATCAGTCATGGCCAATGTCAAAGTCACCGTCATTACTTTCATCTACGTCTGCAGTTACTATGCCGTATCATCAGGTCTAACTTCTTACTTTGTCAACGATCAGCTTAGCACTCAGGGAATACCCCTGTAGTTTTGTTTTATTTAATTACTAAGGAAAATGTGAGTTATTCTCAACCAGTCATGCGAATTAACGAAATAAACTGCCTTGTCATGAGGATTGGTAAATCTACTTGACCAGTGCTTTGCAACGGGGAGTGCAGCGTGAATACAAAGTTCAAAAGTTGTAATTTTACGATTTTATAGCTTGTAAAAGTAGTTTCCCAATTTACATTACCTGGGAGATTAACCCTTTTTCTTTCTTCTCCTACATATAGTTCACAGAAAAGTATTGTCGTAAAAATATTTGTATTTATAGGTTTGGAAATATAAGTTATGGAATATAAGAGTAATATACGATTTGGATCCCCCTGAACCCAAAAATGTGGTTTATGAAGTGATGACTGTGGTTGTGTGTGTGTTTGTACATAGAGCTACATACTACACCTGTGGTCCGATTTAATGGCGAATTTTCCCACGAAATATAATATTTACTCCCACTGCTTGCTTATTAGGATAAGCGTTGTTCACAAGCTAATGGGAGAAAACATCGTGACAGTTTATTTAGTTTATGTTAATAGATAGGTAAACTAACATGTTAAGTGGGTTTCGAACACGCTGACATTAACACAAAGTCATTGGGGATTGTCATAACCTGGAACAGATCAAATGCACATTGAAAAAATCATATACACGTCCAACACCTTGGGATGGATATGTCCTACTATGGGAAGCTTTAGTTTTAAGTTACATTAACCTTTGCAGCAAACATTCCAAGATTCAAACAGAGGTTGGAGCGAATCCAATAGAAAAGCGATGCAATTAAAAACCAATTTGACTTCGTGAGAAGTAATCAATATACTTAATACAATAAGAGATTTCTCTGATACCTCCCTTTCCCAGCCGTCCTACTTAACCGAATTTTACGATTGAGGTGTCATTTTGATGCTTATGACCTAGCGCACCTGCGAGTGTTAAATTTCCTTTAGGGCTTCAACACTGTAACATTTAATTTGTTTCTAGATTCCATTTTCAAAGATCCAGTTATGCAGACCAACGGTTATTCTTTATTACGGGTTAACTAGTTTATATAAATAGGTTACTATTTTGACAACTGTGACTTGGTTGAGGTAGACGAATCATTCTTTATGGTGTACATCCAAAATTGACAAATCTATTGTAAATTATTAGTACTGATCACCTAATAACTTATCGTAATCTTGGAAAGGTAAATGGGTAATCCACTGGAATCATTTTGCCTCAGAAACTAGTTTTGGACCCTAAACTGTTCAATTAGCATACACGTTTTCTCGTGCAAATTTTATTATTGAATTGAAGTACGGATTAATGTTTGGCTATGTAAAATAAGTAGTAAATACTTAAAACTACTACAACTATTGTGCATAGCTTGAGTAATACAACAATAAAAAGAATTAAACAATGGAGGAGATTCAATATAAAAATAGTTTCATGTATGGCAACGCCAACAACAATAAATAGCACAAAGTATGCTCAAAACAGCATATTCACTTTCGGGTTAATTACTGAAAACGCTCCGACGAATAAAATATTATTTCAGACCAGCGCTTTTCAAAACACCTTAATACTTCACCGTGTTAATTCACATTGTAAAGATTGAAACTAATTAAACTAATTGCAGTGTTGTTCATGAATTCCTACTAAGTAAACTCAATCTATATCTGCCCTTGTCCTTGGACTCTTCGCTCATCGCCAACACTTAAATGCTAACTCCGCAATCTGGACATGAGTGATTACCCCATTACTTCCCATACCCCTTCCTCGTTCCATCAACAATATTTAAACCTTGTTTTCTGTGCTGAGTGGTATTTAGTTCAAACTCTCTTAAGTGTTAACATCTGTTAGGAATCATACACTGTTTGGTTTTCTTATCAGTTCGCTCTCAATGTTCAGCCTATTTAGTTCATCCAGATACCCACTTAAAATCTTTTCCAGCTTCCTTTTATGCACTCACAACATACTTTATTTTGAACTTGATTTAACCAATGAACAACTAGAACCCATCTACAAAAAATAAAAAGATGTGTGTACTTTGGAAATTCCTGGATATTACACTCACTGTGAACCCAAGTAACCCTAACGCATAATTTTTTGTTTTGACTCTTTGTCTCCCAATTCTCCATCTCATAACCCTTTGTCTCCAAATTTGTTGTATCCTACTCTCTATCTCATAACGCCCTATCTTCTGGCCCTTTAAATCCCGGTTCTTATCCCGGGATTCTTTTGTTTCCTATCTATTTTTCTCCTAAATTTTCATCTCCTGAAATTTTAACTCCCGATTCTTTATCTTCTGATTATTTTATCACCTGACTCCTTGCCTCCCGACTCTTTACAGTCTCATCTTCTTATCTCGTAGACCTTATATCCTAGCTTTAGTCTTCTAACTTTTTATTTCTTGGTATCTCATTACTGTTCTCCCGAATCTTCGTTCTAAATACTATACTTATCTCCAAATTTTTTCTCCAATTTCTTTATTTTCCGATTGTTTACCTCCCGGTTTATTTTCTTATTCGTTAACTTCTGATTCTATCTTCAACTCTTTTTCTTCTAACTCTATTTCCTGACACTTATCTCCTAATTCTTTAACCTAATTTTTTTCCTGATACCTCGTATTTTTACTTTTTACCTCCTGATATATCTCACTTGACTTTCACCACACAAACCCTTCAGCTCCTACCACCCTCTGCGACTCCTGCCCTGACCGCCTGCTCCTGATACCCCGCACGCTCCTGGACTCCTGGTCCTGGTAACGCACGCCCACGTCATCGCCCCGCTATCCACGCCGTGTCTTCACTCTCTCCTCAGCCCTGTATCGCCATGGCCGCGGCGTTCCTCTCACTTGCCGTCTGTCTGTGTCTTGTGGCGGAGCTCCGACCCGTCACCTCCGACCATGACCCTGACTTCAGTCCTTACTACAAGTCGACCGTGAGTACGATCAGTTTTTTCACCTTTGTGCTGTGGATTTTGTATGTTAACGCTGTGGATTTTGTGTGTTAGTTGTGATATTTTTAACTAGTTTTATTGTTCGTAGTAGCTTGGAGTGTAGTGTGTTATTTAAATGAGTTTTATAATCTGGAAAGCATTTCAAACAAATTTTATAACTTATCAACCAACCAAAACTTTTACCATTTGATGTTTTAGGTGTAGGTAAAAAATAAGCATATAATCAACAATATGTCTAAGAAAGGGAGAAAATAAGATGTTGATACATCTCCTAGGCCAATTTATACAATATTTTGGTTTTGAATTATTGCGGCTGTTCATAAGTTAATTAACTAGTCCAGACTTATCGTATTATCTAGTTTTGGGTATTCTTATTTATTTGATGAAATTGTGGATTAAGAATATAAGTGCCCTATGGATTTACGTCTCGTCTAAGTATTGAATCAAAGTATTAAAACTAAAAATACTGCTATGAGTTTGTTTTTTTTCGTAAAAGCCAAGAAGTTTGAACTACATAACCCCACTTTATGTTGAAATAAAAATACTTTTAATATTTAGTAACAAATCAAGTTTAGCTTATGCTAAACTATGGATTATTTCAATTCAAAACATAATAGACATAATGTGCGTCGATCTCTTAACTTTATAATTTATAATTCAAGTAAAATACTAGAAAAATCCAATATTTTGCGTCAGTATACCGTACAAATAAACATTCCTAAATTGAGTACTCTTTTTATGTGAAATTGTCTAAGACCGAGATGAAAGTTAACTTTGTTCACGATAAGCTACCGATGAATGAATTACTCATACTATTTTCGTCTAAGATCCTGGTTTGTTTACTTTCTCTAATTTTACCAACACTCCGTACAAATGTGTAGTATAAGTGATGTTGAAACAAAGTGTTTCCCGAATGAAACACAGTTTCATAGTTAAGAAACACAACTATTTCAGGGTCGTCGTCTCAGCTTTCTCGGTCTCGTGTGGCAATGCACTTTCCGGGAGCCTCGTTCAAGTTAGTACTTCGTTTGTGACGTTTCGAGCTGTCGATGCATCGTACACGTGGAGTAGGAATTCCATTTTCTTAAAGAGCTTTATGTTTTACATTTTGAACTTTGAAATAGGTATATGCTTTTTGGTATGTTTGCTAGAAAAGAGAAGTTTCTGAGATGACTTTTTGGATTATTGACAGTTCGATGCTTGGACCTAGCTGTGTTTTAATCATTGGGCTTGAAATGGTTCAGGTTTAAGGAACATCTGATTATATTCTGGTTACGAAGCTGCACAATATTCCCCATTAAAATCAGCCTGTGTTTATGAAAACTCAATTTAGTTTTTTTTTTACAACTTGAAAAACACCTTTTATTTGAGTGCGTAGAATACGTGTTATTTAGTTAGTTTGTGGTTCATTGTGTTTTTCGTTAGCTTTTTTCATCATTTTAAATTTGAATTGAAAATGTTTTGGAAACACAATTTACGTAATAACCCACAAAAGTAAGGGTTATGAACGGGTTTTCCTTAAAAGCGTTTAAATTTCTTACATGAAAAATGATACTGGTGTATAGAATAAGAAACTAACACACTAAGAACAGGATATTGGTTGAATTTTATAGTACAACGATTAAACGTAAATATCCATTCTGTGGTAGGAAACATTTGAAATTTAGTTAAACAAGTCTTAAATAAAAACAACAAATAACCAAAATTCTATTCGTGATGAAAATAAAAGACTTGTTATAACAAGTGCAATTCTAGTTGAATATGTACAGATTAAAGTTGAACAATGTCTGTTAAAACGCACGTTCAGTTACTAAAAAGGCGATTAATTTGGAACATTTTCCTGTTAGTGAAAATGTTCCAGGAAGAACTTGAGTTAAGTCAATTTAAAGTTTGACCTCACTCGCAGCCAATGCATGATGCAGTGAGGCGGAACCATAATTGACTTATTGACTGTCAATGCATCCGATAATTTGCACCCTTAGGAGTGTATTTAACCAGCATACATACAGAGAATTAAATATATAAAAACATTTACTGGCTTGAATAGTATTGTAAGTAAAAACAAAGATTGTATTTGACAATGATGGTACTAAAAGATAATACTATCAGAATGTACAAATATACACTGATAGATGTACACTATATACACAAAACACAAATATACTCTAGTTTTACAATGTTTAGTCAAGTGTACCAATAACATATAGTTTTTTTGCAGCTATTTGGATAAGTAATGAAGTGGAAATTGACAATAATACTCTCGCGAATTGTGCATTACTAAATATAACATGAATTGAGTTTAAAACTAATTTAAATGAATTAGAATATTATATTATTAATAAGAACTTTAGTAATAAACGTATGATAAAATATAGCATGGAGTTTTGCTGCTAAATAATTTATATTAATGAAGCTTGAAAGAATACTTTCAAATATTTAGCTTGTTGGCTCACTCTAATGATGATTCTTCAACTTTTGCCATTATTTAATTTTGGTTTCGTTAGTCAAACTATATATTTAAATTCATTCCAATGCCATAGATTTTAACACATTGTATACATTCGTTTTAAAACCAACTAAGTTTTAAAATCACTATATATTCAACTAGTATTTTTTCTCTACCTATTTTCATATTTCAAAACTAAACAAAGACTGTAAACTTGGAAATTAATATGTAATTATATTCCCACAAACTATCATGAATCATGAAAAGTTACATCATATTACAAAATAGTCAAATTGTATATTTTATACCATAATAATTATGTCTGTTAAATTATTCAATAGGCTTCAACTATAATTGGCAGGAATTGTTGTTAACAATTGTATTACAAAAAATGTATTATAATAATACACTGTACGATTAATAAATCAGCAGACAACATTATATAACCAGATAATTGTTACAAATTAGTAACCTTGGAAAAGGATTTCAAAATAACTTCTTGATTAACATTGCTAGTTGAGTTACATTGAAGGGGTAAAATTCCACGAAACTTGCACTGCTATCTTTTAAATAAATAACTTCTTGATCACCATTGTACGTGTTATTATATTTACGGAAAGTAAATAAAAGATACGTCTTAACACTTAAAACGTATATTCACGCTTATGCTGTTACTCACAAGACGGTAAATATACAAAAAAGTTGTTAAGTGGTGATCGATTTCGATTGGACACTCCAATCATCATCAGACCCAATAGGCGAATGACAAGAATCTTTAATGGCGTCCCTACTTTACCCTATTGGCTACGGAAGCACCGGCCAATACATTTTTATAAGAACAACTGGAATCGAAATTTACTTGTTAATTAATCAACTTATTTCTATTTTTAAATTTTTATAAATATACAATTCTTCCCAAGCATTCATTACATATCCTTTCATACAATTCTTCAAAACACAATAACATTTAAATGTATATGTATAAAACCCACGTTTCAATGACAACAATGCCAATCTGCTTTAACCATTTACAATGGCAAAAACTGGAATATAATATCGTATTTTCTCAGAAAGAAAACAAATTAGTCTAAGTAAGGACCTCTATGCAAGGATTTCCCGCGAAACCCCCAAGGTTAACTTGATCTTGTACCTTACTTACTTGTATACTTGAATTCTTCATCTTTGACAGAACTAGTCTGATAGATTGCGTTATATTGTTAATGATAAAAATAAAAACTATGTACATTATTTACAGTAATTATACTGAGTCACTAAACTTAACTTGGCCGTTTACTTTACCGTTTACCTTCGTGATTTAGACGTATCCTTGGAACTTAAATCATCAACCCCGTGACATTGGTGTCCGTGTGAATAGTCCATATTTTTGTACAGGGTGTTAGGATATCCGTAGTAATCTTAGAAGTCTGTGAAATAATACTTTTATTTAGCAGTATATTAATATGGAAATTAATTACAAGGAATTGTTGCCCGTTGTTAGCAAATTTCCCTGGAAAGAAGCTATTACCGTAGGTGGCACTGTATGACCTTGACCCGGGACCAGTTTTCTTTTTCATAATTTTGATATCTTCAAAAGCTAAAACACTATTAGTTTAGTGTATGGACATTCAAAATGCTATGTTATTCTTATAGAGAAAAAGTAAACTGTTGTAGTATGCTTGTTTATGGATATATTTTGATCAAATTTTGCAAAACTATTCATTTAATACGATACTGAATAGAATATTACATGTGTCAAAGTTCGGTAGCTCACAAAGCTAGAGATTTTAATATCTCCAATTTACCTAAGTAATCACAAACCCATTAATCATCTTCTATAATTGTGTTGATTAAGGGGCCACTTTTAGCAACGGGAATCGTAGCCAACTTTTCAGACAGTTGTGTTCAGTTTATGTGCTTCAATTCTAATTTTTATCGAAAAACCATTTTTTTTCTTGCCTACTTCTCAAAATACATATTTAGGTATAAAAATTGATACTGTAGTTAGTTTAATAGCTGAACTGAATTGTAGTCTTTTCATTTGTTAGGACGAGATAAATCAAGATATTTTACGTATAGTTTCCCCCAAAAAATATACTTCTACTAATCTGAATTCACTATGCAAAATCCAAACGTATTAATTTATTATTATTTCTGCTACTCTAAAATGTTTAATAAACTTCATAAGGAACTTCAAATGTTGTAGATTTGTATCATTGTTATGTACGTTTTTTCATACATTGAATTAGGAGGGTAAACTAACACAAATTCAATTGTCAATTTCCATCAATATGACTTGAACTTGTATCTTATTTATTAACTCCCTAATTTGTTTCATTATTTTCTTCTTTATCATCCTTCCTATTTTACTTTCTCCCCCTATACCATAGTATATGGAGAAAGTATTGTTTTTATACCCTTCTACATTTAAAATTCTCTTTGTATTATTACTTTAATTTGTTCCTATTCTACTTCTTTCTTCATTATTATTTCCTCAATATTTTTCAATATTTCTATCGTGTTCTTAAACGTCTTAACATAAAAAATATGTAAGTAAATTATATTCTACAAGCATTGAAAATACACTAGCGAGCGTTAACATTTTTACTGTATTAATTGTTACTGAATTTCAATTGTGCTTAGCAATTATATTGATAATAGCGAACAGTTGTTTTACAACACTCTATGCCAATTTGGCATAGGTCCGTGACAACAACGTTCGCCATGAAAGGAGTAAGTTTGCATTTTGAAATAGCAAGTATTATAAATAATCAGTTTAAATTAACGTACTTTATTATTAAATTTAATACTTTTTAAGTACTGTTTTGATTCTTTTTCATACTGTATTTAGGTTTATGAGACGTTGTAAAAAGTAAATACATATATTCAGACGAGAATCGTTCAAATTTTATAATCTATTTCGATATTGTAAACAGCTCTATTTTCGAATGATAAATGAAAGTATATAAAAGATTTTTAGGTTTTTAAAATTCCACTTCGCATAGAATAAACAGTTCTGATACCGAACTGGTTGAAATTGCATAACGAATGTAGAACTTGAGATTTTAAACCCTCATTGTTAAAAAGCCTCTTAATCACTGATTTTAAGCTATAAATGGTTGATTTTGTTACCCTGATCTGTCAAGAAATCTTGGTTTGTTCACACTACTATATTTTGAGCTACAAGAGCCCATCTTCAAAGGCAACCAAAACTTGGATGCCTGATTTTGTAGCACTTGAAGATGGACTACAGTGTTTCAAACCATAGTAGTGTGAACAAACCAGGATAATCTAATAGAGCAAGATAACATACACATTTAGCTTGAACCCCTCACACTACATAACAATGGATATATTAGATTTAATCTACCATTGAAAACGACATTACAATCATTTGTTAATAGTTAAAAAGCTATCTATACACCGTTGATAAAATTTAGACAGTTTAAAGGGATGGTTTCCTTGGTTATCCCACCACTTTTTTAGATTAGTCCATATATCAGCTGATCACCTGTCAGCTGGTAGCTATAGTGAGGGGGAGGGGATGGAATATCTTCCCCTAAAACCGCTTAATTTTGTGAACGGAGTATAGTAACTTAGCACAGCTGTTTAGCTGAGTGTTAATAGTTTTCCCAAAGCAATCATAAGACCACGGGTTTAACCCCGAGAAAAGTTGTTTTTGAATGTTCGATATTGCACCCAGCTGTTATTAAACAGCAGGTTTCTAATAAATGGTCCTTGATAAAACAGCTGATAACTCCTAACAAGACTACACAGGTGTGAAGGCATATCACTCAATGCCTTCACTCATTCATATTCACCAACTCACCACCGGATTAATTAATTTTTGAAAACTTTCAGATAGCGACGCTCTTTCTCGTCACCACGTTGGCAACCATAGCATTATCCGACGAAATCACAAGGCAGAGAACCGTCGATGAATTGCTAGGCCCTACAGGATACATCAAATCGCAGACGGCGTACAACGACGAAAAAGAATTCGCCCAAGAACACATTCACAGGATTCAGAAAGTCTACGGAAAATACATCCAGACCATGTGGCGAGCCAAGATGATGCAGAAGTTCGTATGTGTCAGCAAACATGTCATGTATGACTTTTTTAAACTGAAGAACCGTTTGTCAACGCTGATCCTTGTGTACATGAGCGTGAAGAATATTCCCGATCAAGGAGAGTTGGGCTTGGAGATCGATACTGGGAGGGGGAAGCTGGTGGTTCCTCTAAACAAAGCAAAGTTTGAACAGCATTTATCATCTTGGGAGAAGTTTAAAGGATTTTTCTCTTGCGTGCATCCCAAAGAGGGACGTAAGGAGGTGCTTCCCTGGCAGGACCTCAGGTTCTATTTGATAGAGTATGGGAAGAGCAGATTCGCTCCTGGGGTGGACAAACTCCCCAAAGTTTCCAGAGATGAACGGGTGGTTAAGATTTCTTTCCAATAAAGCTTTGAAGAGTTATTTGGCAATTAAGTGTAATTTATTTTGTTTTGCCTAAGAGTCAACATATCACATTTTTCCTCACCCTGCCGATTTGAGATTGATATACTGTCTAGTAACATTTTGGGGGGAAGCGAGCTGGTCTAGTGGTACACCACAGGACTTCGGTACCCAAGGTTCCGGGTTCAAATCCAGACAATCACCAATTGGTTAATAATACCACAAATCCTCTATGACTAGCCTAAATTTGTAAAATTGTTTCGGACTAGAAACCACGTCCAAGGATGTGAAAGTGGCACATTAAAAATTATGGGTTTCAAAGTCAACACTTGTTTTGAAGAGCACAGAACGATTCAAAACACGATTCACATGCAAAATTATGTCTTTTGATGCAGGAAATTACATCATCCACTTTAGTACAGAAGTAGACATCCGATCTTAATGATCATTTTTTTCAAAATAGCATAGTTTAATGAGCAACTCACAGAATACTCCACAATCTAAATTTATGTTTTATATCTACGTCGCTTTAACTGTTGCAGTTGAATAAACGCTACTAAAGTTTGCAATAAATTGTTTTTTTCGGGTTGGCTTGGTTTACAATTTTGAGTAGTTATTGAACAGAAATAAATAATTGACACTGTTAGAGGCTCGATACAACTTAGTTTATTTTGTTTAACTGGCTACAAATTTAACAACAAAATGTAACGTATAGTTCTATATGAACAACTAACTACTAACACTATGCAATAGTTTTGACTATGGTCCTAGCTGTCGATAAAGTTTCAACCTCCAAATCGATATTAAACTACATGTAAGTCACAGAGCTAAAGGTAAAAAAATCGGAGTTTTTTTAGTAGATAAAAACATTGAACATACTATGGAATTTTACAAGGGAGCAGAAGACTATGTACTTGCAGCATCCAAAGTGCAACGAGGAAGATTCAAATGAAGTGACATTGAACACGTCATTTGACCTGCAACAACTACCTACTTATCTTTGTATGATAATACACTGATTACTACAACCACGCCCAGCAATGACGTCCAATGACACGTGTGTGTGTGTGTGTGCGTATGTGTGCGTGTGTAACACTGTCAGCAGTCAGGTGTGTTCCTACACGCACACAACACCGTTATAATAGCTGGCCCAGCTGGTTTCAAGCCGTGTTTTTCCGGAGCATTACAAGCTGAAACCATAGATAAAACCTAGACTATGCTGAAACTTTGTCAAACTATCAATGTGAAGAGGTTTTTGTTCAACTGGTTATTATATTGATAGTGCGTTATCACTAGGGCCTACGGTGGCTCTTGATAAGAGCTAAAGGTTAAAAGGTAAAAGGACATGTCTCAGGCAAAGAATATCTCTCCATTTAAATCGTAAGACATTTTATTTTAATATCAGAATTGAATAATTAATTGATTCGAGTAAGAGTGCTAATATATATACGAGTCTCAGAGTGGCCTTATAATATGGAACTAGAGGTCGCCCCGTGGTCGAAAACTCGACCAAAATTTTATCGAGGAAACTTCTCTATTTTCACCTCACGCTGTAAATAAAACATGTGATTGGAATTTCTTCTTGAGTTTCTTTTTATATTTCGCTGTTATTTCGTCACCAGGAAACCCATAAGGTCCATGCGAATTTGTTTATATTTTTTGAATTCATTTTTGTGCTTATAATTGAGTCTATTTTAATTTATAGATGGGTTCTGCATCTACAGAAAAATCTATTTCTATCAGTGTGAGTAGATTTTCCTTGCGATGCACACGAGCGGAGAAAAGAGGTTTTCAAGAATCACACCCACACCTATTAATTATAGAATACCTATCAATTTTTTACTATATCCAACAAGGTCTACGTTATATAGTAAAAGGGTTTAGTCAGTTTCTTATAAACAAATTTAAGAGATGCAAACGGCGTAAATCTATGAAATAAATTATGACAGGGGAGTGGTAGTAATGGATCATCGTTGTCACATATTTTATTTATACAGTATTAAGAGTCTAGTTAAACATTACACAATATGTCTAAATATATTTAATAATCTTGTTCTGCTAGAGATCGCATTTTATCATATACCTATTTACTATTACTCCTACTTAAATTGCAAATTATTATACATTAAAATAAAACTTGCATTTCTAAATACACACTATCAAGAAATTAGCATACTGCTTAAATGTTATGAATCATATTGCTGCTATCCGAAGTTGTAACATCTAAATTCAGGACAAGCAACCGAGTGGCATTTCTGTCCGACCTGATTATACATTTCAAGAAGTTGGAGAAGAGAATTGTTTCTCTGAATATTCTAAGTCTCTCAGATTCAGGACGTAAAGTTAAATTATGTTGTAGATTGAATATTACCTTCTACAAGCTTTCAACTCTGAATGCTTTGTCTGCAATGTATCATGAACTTCCAAGAGAGCAGTAGATAACAGAAAAAGAGTTATTTTTATTTTTATTATTATTATTTTTTGTTTCATAAGTGTATATAAACATTTTTCAATAATAAATACATGGCGTATAATGTTTAATTTGGAGATAATTATTTATCAAGCACACTTTTCTTGCGGGTCCGTTCGCGTTTTTGTTTTGAGAGGTTATCTTAACATAAAAGTTATTTCGTTTTCTGGCTTTGGTTTTTTTAATTAATGGTGCAATATGACGAAAAATATAGGCCTAGTTCAATTTCACATTCTACTTTTACAAGGTAAATGGACCCTTTTTGGGCTTTATATTTTACACTACTGTGTAATTTTTTAAAGGTTAATTTTTATCACCCACAAAATCTAAAGTATGTAGTTTACGAAAGAGTGCTCTAAAAAATGTAACTAAAATTGTCATACAGCATAGGCCTTAGAAGAAAAAAATATAATCATACGAAACCAGCGACCACAGAATTAAAAGTACAGAACACGTAAAATGACAACAATGCAACAATACAAACACCTGATCCAACTTCAACCTGTCACCATAGAGACCTGTCATTATAGAGACCATGTAAATAAATAATCCTAGCTACAGAAACAGCTGATCTTAGTCAGTAACAAAGCTACAGAGATCATCTTACTCCATCCTACACTCATCCTTCAATATTTGGATAAAATACGTACCTAGAAGGCGTCCCTATCCATCTATATATTAATAGGCAAGCATCTTTCTTTAAAACCTTTTTATTCAGCTCGTGTTCATCGTAGGGAAAATCTACGCATACTGTTAGAAATATATTTTCCTGTAGATGTGCAGAATCCCTTTAAAATTTGAAATAGGCTCAAAAATAAGCACAAAAAATGAATTCGAAATTTAAAAAAATTACAATGGGCTTTATGGGTTGCCATGCTGGTGACGAAATAACATTGAAATGTAAACAGAAAATAAGAAATGGAAGAAATTCCAATCACTTGTTTTATTTTTATTTACAGTGTGGGATGAAAATAGAGAAGTCTGTATATAGATTTTTTTGGTCGAGTCTTCGACCACTGAATGACCACTAGTCTCAATTAATTGACAGTTGATTGATTATTGATTGATCATTGATGAGCTAAAACTACTATAAACAATCTAGTAACCCAAATTGTAAACCAAAACCGGGTCAGCCCAGCTGTTGTTTCACAGACTGAAACTAAAGCATGTAATGTAGCAGTGCGTACATATGTATTTACAGTTACATAACCCGTCCACCACCGTATCGTCATGGATGTTAAAGTTGCGACAGTTATTACTCTATGTCGAACGTTCAACGACACGTAAACAAGTGATTTTGACAGTCCTTGAAATCCATTTGGCGGGATACTATGTTTATACTCAATGGTAATATGCACCTTGCGAATGGATATAGCACGGGAGGAATACACGATTGGATATGTTTATTTCATGGTAAAGACCAAGTAATTAACCTTACTAAAACAATCAAACTAATTAATCAATATTGAAACAATTTAATATTATTAATTTGGGGAAAAATCCAGATATGAGTAGATGTTTTACATCATGAGTATATTTTGAGAAGCACTAGGCAATTGATCATGGCTTAATTCATACCTCGTACTAGTACTGAATCAGAAAAACCTGAAGGAACAAGGGCGTTTTATAATATATTTTTGTGCGAAAATATGACTCCAATTTTTGAGAGCAATTGCCATTAACAGCTAACGTTTATTTAAGTTTGATACTTGGGTTTGAAGCCGTGACTTTTGTCCTTGACCTTCGCATTTGACCTCTTACGTCAACACAGATCTCACACGTTAAAATTTTTTGGATTATTGGCTAAAATATATTTTGCTATTATAAAACGACGCAGGCGTAATTAACATGTTAATACTGTTAGATGAAATGGCGATTATACATAGTAGGTATTTTAAGACAAGTATGAATGGAGATGAGTGTAGGATGAGTGGCACGATCTTATAGTCTTGTTAGTGACTAAGGCCGACATTCCTTAGACACAGCTGTTAATTAATAGCCTATACAGCTAATGGCAACTAAGGGACCCACAGTTTATAGTGGAATCCGAACCACATATTTCCTTGGTATATACGAATTGGTATAATTATCAGTATAGTACTGCGGATAGTCTTAGTGCGGACGTTAATCCACACCAGGGAGTATCACATCCACAGTGCATGAAACACACATCGAATAGCATAATATTTGTACAACAGGGTGGGAAGTGCGCTTGCACTATTCAAATTCAATGGTTTCTATAAAAGGTATTAAAGTACCTGAGTACTACCAGAGTGATCCTGTCAGTCCTTACGGATTACGCGTTTCGAGTACATAAGTCCTCATCATCAGATCTTGTACAAGAACGGTACAATGGTTCGCTCAATGGTTTCGCTCTTCATACTGTGGAACTGAAATATTGATAGGTTTGTACAGTAGCAGTCTAATGGTTCGTTTAGCCTACCTTGGCCTCAACAATGGCACATTTTGTACCCAGAACTCCCACGTTCGCCGGCGAACAGACATGTTTGGCACCTCCTATAGACCCTGTATAGCCTTTATACCAGTGGAATCTCAATGTATGGAAAGGTCAAGCGTAGTTTATACTTGACCAACTTTTGGAACGGTTTTAATTGAAACTACAAAACAACAAGGTAAACAATCTAGACTGTACAACTGTTGAAACATGACCGAGCAAGATTTGTGGATATCTATGGATCATGACTAGTAATGTGGACATTTTCAACCACTGATTAGTGAAACGAATATTTCAGGACAGGTGATTCAAACCCAATTTTAGGTGGAAAGGAACCTACAACTAACAAGAAATATACCTTCAATCAGTAAACCGTGCAGCCCAAAAATCACAACAGCTTTTTAGACACAAGCATAAAGTCACAACTTCACTACAGGACGAACTTTATTGACATTGTAAACAAGTTTGGTCACGCGGCCTCAAAGTGAGCTAGTTTAGTCACGTGATGTAGATGAATCGTGTGACCTAAATCATAATATTTGAGTGATCGTGGTCTAGCCACCTGTCTTTGGTCAATGAATGAATGGCTTAAATCAATGTATTTACATAACAAGAATGTCAAATGTATTCCTAGTCTTATTTCGCTATTTAGATCGATTGTGAGTCAAGTGACCTAATTTGTTAGGTCACGTAACATTGGTTAAGTCTAGTAAGGTTGGCAACAAAGTCTAAATCAGATTAGCTGCGTGACCTTGATGAAGATAGTCACGTGACTTGCCTGATCACGTGGTGCAGGTCAATCACGTCGAGTGACTTACATCGCGTCGGTAGCGTGACCTCAAATCACGAGAGCCAGCCTAGTCGTGAAATTGAGATCAGCAATGTAAACTCACCTAATCGCAGTATATAGGCTGCCTTGTAAAATGTTCCGATCAGGATTCGATCCTAAGAGATTATGTTAAATAGATGCCACTATCGACATAATCTTCACGAGTCGATGATCAAGATCAAATTTTTTTTTATTCCATTCTCATAAGCTCCAGATACGCCATGGATATGAAGCTAGATGGTCTAGTAACGCGCAAGACTTTAGTTCTAGAGGTCCAAGATTCTAATCCCGCTAATCACCAATATATTTTGTATCCAGCCCGAAGTTGTGTTAAAAGATTCCAGAGTGTCGTAGAATGTGAAGGTGAAAAGAGAGAGACGATACGCTGCGGTCCTCCAAGTAGCTGCGTTCACCTCTACGCTCCGACCTTGGGACCTTGGACGGCCCTGACCAAGAGACCCGGTAGAAACCGGAAGTGTTTGTTTGGGTGAGTCACCGTGGCGCCAGCACCGTTACAGGAATGCGAACGGGTTCGAGTTCGGGACTGCGCTAATCCCCCTAACGGCTGAGTGGAGCTCACGATTTATTGAACACATCTGGAATGTCCTCCTGACACTGATCAGGAGCGAAGAGATGAACCCAGTTGGACCATTGGATAGTTCTATAGTTCTGGTCTATGGTGAACCAAAGGTTGGTGAACTATAGTTCTGGACAGTCTATGGTGAACCAAAGGTTGGTGAACTATAGTTCTGGACAGTCTATGGTGAACCAAAGGTTGGTGAACTATAGTTCTGGACAGTTTATGATGAACCAACGGTTGAGTCAATGTCTGAAGCGAGGTATCGTTCACCAGTGCAAGATTTAGTACAGTACAGTGTACTTATTAGACTTTAAGCTACTGAACCTAAGTTTGGAACAATTGAATGTGGGAGGTTAGATTGTACACCGCACTAATTGAGTGATTTTGAACCGACAGTGTCACTTTTGTCTATACTAGGCTTTACCTCCAAACCGTTTTACATCTTACTTCAGCCTAGGTCTCGAGGTAGCGGGACAGAATAATAATGGATAAAATTCATTGGTGATCGACGGAATTTAAACCAGGACCCTCAGGGACCGAAACCCCGCGCTCTACCACTATCGCGCTCGTTACCTTTAGCAAAACAGGTGCAAGGCTCTATGAAAATTCCGCTTATAGCGAGGCTACCAATTAATAAAGTATACGGTCACATGCTAGCTTGCAAGAGATGTACTTATTTGATTGAACTGTCGACGTTCATAGGAAGACACCAAGAATATACAGGGTGCCCAGTATGTAAAACAGAAAAACTCTAGAAAATGGTGCAATGGGTCAAAACAAAGAAAGATTCGTTATGACATTCTTATCAAAAACCCTTCGTATACCAGATATCAGCCATTTTCTATTTTTTACATACAAGTGTATATCTTTGCGCGTTTACATCCGACATTTGTGATAATTTACATATACAATTCAAGTGCAACGTATTTACAGATATAGATGGCGGTGGAGTGGCATATATATTAAAGTGCAACTTATTTACAGATATAGATGGCGGAGGAGCGGCATATATATTAAAGTGCAACTTATTTACAGATATAGATGGCGGAGGAGTGGCATATATATTAAAGTTCAACGTATTTACAGATATAGATGGCGGTGGAGTGGCATGTATATTAAATTGCAATGTATTTACAGATGCAGATGGCGGTGGAGTGGCATATATATTAAAGTGCAATGTTTTGACAGATATAGATGGCGGTGGAGTGGCATATATATTTAAGTGCAACGTATTTACAGATGCAGATGGCGGTGGAGGCTGGTATCAACGCCACCAGACACGAAGTTAGAACAGAAGACGGCTATTGGCTGACACTTCACAGGGTGGGAACTTCCAGAGGAACGCCAATCTTGCTTCTACACGGACTTCTGGGAAGTTCAGACCAGTGGCTTCTGCTTACCAGACAGCAGTCCTTGCGTGAGTAGGAAGTTCTCTAGAGAATAAAGTAACTGTGTCTCAAGTCATAAAACTATGCTCTTCATCATTTTACCTACAAACATTGGTATCAAAAAGGTTATTTTGCTATGTTAAGTACAAAATCCATAGTGCGTAGACTGTTTTTGATATGTTATTCCGTTGGAAAATGTTAGTCCTAGAACTAGCCGTGTACCTAGGAGCTTTGTCCAAGATAATGAAGAAAAACTCAAATGTAGCTTGAGGCAACTGATTCTACATCGTGTTTTTAGTCCATCATAGATAAGTTTTTTCGCAAAAAACTGAAAGAGAATACAATGAAAATGGCGTTCAGTTTCGTATACTACAGGTTCTGTTGGACATCGTTAAGCAAAATTGCTGGGATATGAAAAATAAAGTACGATACATTGAGGGTTTTTATCCCCTGCAAGAAGATATAATACGAGTATTTTTGCTTAACAATTATTGATTTCAATTAAATCTAGGAAAGGAGTTGTTAAAGCACAATCAACTGAATTTACTAAATAAGAAATATCGGAGTATAGCTTAGAAGATTAGCAGTCAATAAACGAATCAGAATGCTGTTTAAGATGGCTCAAACGGTATCCAAGCCATCGACCGTTATAAAATATCACTAAAAAATAATAATTAGATATTAAAATGTGAAATAATTAGAGGAGCAGAGTAATTGTTGGGTTTCTTGTTGCTCCAGAACCAGTAAGCCTGGCCTTGCTACATTTGCAAGTTGCATCTTCGAACTTGAAGAATGCCGTGTGAAAGTCGGCGCAGGATCCGGTACAGGCCGGGAACCTTCTTGGAAGAGAAAGACAGAAAAATAACCGAGTCATTCGCTTGGTTTGTGGTAAAAGACTCGTACAAATCCACACTTTCCACGATCATTAGATCAGTGCGTGCGAGAGAGAGGGTATCACCCTATCACCGATCGCATTGGCGAAAGCTGCATTAAAATACTGTAATGAGTGAAATCTCCCTAGTAAAGGTCATTTGTTAGATAAAGAGCGTTACAACGCCAGAATGTGTGATTACTCGTCAGTTTGAGGGGTTGATGGAGAGTTCGGAAGTAATAATGTTAGGTTTTGATGATTCTCCAGGCAATTACGGCTTGAGTATTGATGAAAGTGTTATGAATCATGAAATCTTGCTCATAAAAATATCTAGAGGTTGTTGCTCAGAAGTTATATTATTGACAATCTAAAGGACACTGGTTCTATTGCAAGCGAAATCTATACTGGACCCAGACGACAAACCTTAATGATGCCCTTGATAGTAACAAGACCGTTCAAGACAGCTTTAGTAGATAGGGACTGGACCGTCCAACTACAATAATCGTAGGGATTCCTTTGATGTAGACAAGACACTAATAGTTTAAGTTAAAGTTAAAACATTTATGACCCACGTGGGTTTTATCACAAACGTCGTAAAGAAGAGTAAGGAGACACAAGGAATGTCGTCTACCTTGACCTTGGCCGTCGTGATGGTACAGTCGGTCTACAGTCACTACAGTGACGTTCTACAGGTGTTGGTCTGCACATCTATAGTCAAACACAACACAACGTGGAGGTGAGGACAAGACACCTGGTCTAGGACACATGAATGTCGTCTACCTTGACCTTGACAGTCATGATGGTACAGTCAGTCTACAGACACTACAGTGACGTTCTACAGGTGTTGGTCTGTAGTAGGTCTATAGTCAAACACAACACAACGTGGATGTGAGGACAGAACACCAGGGTCTAGGACACTTGAATGTCGTCTACCTTGACCTTGGCCGTCGTGATGGTACAGTCGGTCTACAGTCACTACAGTGACGTTCTACAGGTGTTGGTCTGTAGGTCTATAGTCAAACACAACACAACGTGGATGTGAGGACAGGACACCCAGGGTCTAGGACACATGAATGTCGTCTACCTTGACCTTGGCCGTCGTGATGGTACAATCAGTCTACAGACACAATTGTGACGTTCTACAGGTGTTGGTCTGTAGGTCTATAGTCAAACACAATACAAAGTGGAGGTGTGGACAGGACACCCAGGGTCTAGGACACATGAATGTCGTCTACCTTGACCTTGGCCGTCGTGATGGTACAGTCAGACTACAGTCACTACAGTGACGTTCTACAGGTGTTGGTCTGTAGGTCTATAGTCAAACACAACACAACGTGAAGGTGAGGACAGAACACATAGGTCTAGAACACATGAATGTAGTCTACCTTGACCATGGCCGTCGTGATGGTCCAGTTAGTCTACAGTCACTACAGTGACGTTCTACAGGTGTTGGTCTGTAGGTCTATAGTCAAACACAACACAACGTGGAGATGATGATAGAACACCAGGGTCTATGACACATGAATGTCATCTACCTTGACCTTGACCATCGTGATTGTACAGTCAGTCTACAGTCACTACAGTGACGTTCTACAGGTGTTGGTCTGTAGGTCTATAGTCAAACACAACACAACGTGGATGTGAGGACAGAACACCAGGGTCTATGACACATGAATGTCATCTACTTTTACCAGTACTGTGTTTATGACGTAATCTTTATCGTTCCAGCCATGCTGCTCACGGATGCAGGCTACGACGTCTGGCTGGGCAATCTTAGAGGCAACGTTTACTCCAGAAGACACGACATTTTATCACCAGACATCGACTATCAGTTCTGGAACTTCAGGTACCTTTACTTTCCTTATTTGTACTTGAGCTACAATGTTTATCCTCTCTTTGTTTTTCGTTTTTCTTTAGAGAAAAATTTATTGCACTCACCAGTAGACCTTTGAATTAAAGGAACTGTAACGCTTAATAGGAAAAGCGGTCCTAACCCTTAAATTATTCGTGGATAAGTCGGGGATCAAACCTGTTTTTTCTAGTACTATAGAGCATGGGACTTTGGTCCCTGAGGTCCCGGGTTCAAATCCAGCTAAATAACCGATGGACTTTATCCAAGTGATAATGCCGCAACGCCTGGTCCAGTCTGAAGTAATGTGAAAAACGATCCAATTCAAGGGACTGGCGTCCTAGGACAAAAACTATAGTCAACCCACCTCGTTTCCATATGAGACAAAAGAATACCCAAAACCAAAATGTTTCTTCAAAATATAATCTTTTTATCATATGTTTCGATTACATTCTATCCTACCATGTTCTCCGGCATGCATCGATGCATCTTGAACCTTCTTCTTAAAATAAGTCTCAAATTCGTAATTTATAAAAAATGACATGTTAATGGCTTTTTTATACCTTCCCACAAGACTAAACAACGTTTGCAAGATCTAAACATTCAACCCAACCTTATACGAATTAAAGGCTGTGTCACACTAGGCTACTTACTAGCTGCTATTTAGTAGCGGCTAGTGAAGTAGCCGCTAGTAAAAGCTGTCACACAACAAATGTCGATAGCGGCTACCTAGTAGCAGCGATTCAGCCAGTCAGTGTCAATCCTGTGAAAATGTCGTCTGTTGGTATAAGCCGGGTTGAATTACGGCGTTTAATTTTGATGTGCGTTAGTGATGTTTGTATTGATTTAATTGAAAATATCCGCAACAAGAAGAAACGCTCCTGGGTAAGAGAGTGGATTAAGAGAAGAGACAGGCTGGGTGCATCAGGAACACTTAGAGAACTAGCTGTTGAGGACCCGAAATCGTACTACAATATTATGAGAATGTCCGTAAAAAAGTTTGATGAGCTGCTACCACTTCACTTCACTCATTTTTCACAAATTTTTATTGAAACCAACTTTTCCACAACAAACCAAACCCAAACATGCACAGCCACTAGCCGCTACTACGCTAGTACACATGTCACACCGGCTACTCGGTAGCCGCTAGTCAATCACGTGACTCACTAGCCGCTAGTTAGTAGCTCGGAAAATTGGACATGTTCAATTCTCGACGCTAGTGAAATCTGACTAGCGTGCTACTCCTACTAGCCGCTACTGCCTATGTCACATTGGCTACTCAGTATATACTAGTATCCGCTATTTCGCTAGCGGCCAGTAAAGTAGCCTAGTGTGACACAGCCTTAAGGGAGTATTTCTGACAACTAGTGCAGTAACTTCTCACAACAACCATTTTCCAGTCTGCACGAGATGAGCTACTACGACCTGCCCGCCATGCTGGATCACATCACCGCCTCCACGGGCCACTCCAGAGTGTTCTACTGTGGGTATTCCATCGGAGGTACGTTGTTTCTCATGATGGCCGCCTCTCGTCCCCAATACAACACCAGGGTACAAGCCGCCTACCTACTAGCGCCCCTGGTGGTGCGTCCTGGAGCCCTACTGGGCGGTCCAGCCGTGTACCGCATGGCCTTCGAGTTCTTGTACGCCTTTGTGGTAAGTTTAGCTTTCATAAGAAGCCAAATCAAATTTGAAAGTAGTTATGATTTATTTAACAATAAGGATTGTACGTCACCAACGTTCCAGGCGTATTTTATGGTAAATTTAGGATGGGCGTTGTTAGCGTTGATAGAATCGGTAATCACAAAGATTAACTTTAAACAAGAAAATTTTTTAAAGGTGTTGATCATTAATTTCGTCTAGTTTTTCTACCATCAAAATGCTTCTGACCTTTCTCTAGACATCTTGATTACTAGGCGAGCACTATCCATTTAGCTGCTCAGCTATAGCGTTAGTATTTTTAGACCTTGTAAGAGGATCTTTGCGGAAAACTATACCTGTTAGCTCAAGGAGTCTGGCTGGAACTTTGCCCTACCTTGGGAAGGACCCGTCTCACGCACGAACACCATAAAAATCCATAAAACAATACCAAACCTTATCAAACAAAGATCTGGTTGAACCAAAGTTGCAGGAACTACTCTTAATGCTGAGCAAATCATGAAGTGTTTGTGTTTGGCAAGGGACATTGTTTTTGGTAAAGTGATAGAAGTATTTTTTTACATCGCCATCAGTTTCTAGCAAACAGTCCAATAATGTTGGTTCAACTCCCGGTTAGGCAGTGAATCACAGCTGGGTAGGGATGTCACACAGCTAACAAACTTTTTGTAACTCCAAATTTATTTTGATTTTCGTCACCAAGAGTATCCTTACGTTACGTTAAATCGTGTTGTTGCAAAATTATACATAAAATTCAGAGGTTAGGATTCATGGTGCTATCAGGAAGCCCCACTAATGCACATAGTAACAATTAACAACTGCCATCAGTAGGATTGTTAGCTGTAGCTCAGATGGGTTTGCATGTGTGTGTCTGTGTGTGTAACAATGTGATTGATTGATCATGTTTCTCCAAACACATGATAGTCCTGCAATGACACCCACTTCCGGTTCGCTAAATGTTTGTTTGACATTGTAACTTCCTGTTGTAGAACAAATTATGTTCGTAACATACAAACATTGACTTTGGGTAATGATAGTAGCCTTGACATTATTTAAAAATCTGTTTTGAGTGTTTCACGTCCGCTTTAAATACGCTTCTCTTGTTTCTCTCCTTGTTAAGAAAGGTTTTAAGACTTTTTTATTTAAAAAATACCAGATAAAAAGGATAAAGAGTATTAAAATAAAGTGATAGGTAGTAATATTTTAAGCTATTGATTTTACTCTACAATTTTTATCCACCCTTATCGATATAATTTTCTATCTTAGAATTTTTACTAGTTTTAACAGGGTTTTTCAAATTTAACTTTTACATTGGCAGTTTTTAGTTGTTAAAATGTATTTTTGGTAAACGTATTGTGATACAGCATACTTTTATGGAAGTAAAAAAAAACAGACATCTGTACAATACTCTTTTGCGCCTTCAGTTCACTGCTGATGGTATGCAATACACATGTGTCTGTATGGTGCATACCATCCAGCTGAAGGCATTGAACTGAAATTAAAATTATCTTTTCTAGAGTAATAAAAATATACCTCAATTAAGTAGTTTTAAAATTTTATAAAAACTTTATCTTAAATTTGATTACTTTACAGCATCGATTTTGGACCATACTTTGATTATGGGCTGATAAACTCGTAGTCACTTTTATAGTTTTGTTATTTTACTACTAGAATTCTATATTGGACCTTAACCTATAGACCTTTTTTATTTTGTATGTTTTTCAGATACAAAAAATATTGAATTACTTCAATCTTAAACTGTAACTATTCATTAATGTGACAGGATTAATCAGGATTTTATAATCAATTTATATGCATTTAAATCTATGACAAATAATAACAAACTGGACATAGAATAATTATAAGCTTTCCAAAATATATAGGTAAAATGTAATCGTGTATATTTTATCATCTTGTCAATGGTACTACCTACCTAAAAAAACTACATTTTAACCTAAAAAAACTGAAACCTACTTTTACACGGTTTGATTAGGTAATCAATGTCTACAAAACCAAATATGAAATATCTAAACAATTACTTACCAAATTATTAATGTAGATAACAACAATATAAACAGCTGAAACAAATAACATTACAATCACCCACTTTAAAATTATTTACATGGTGACAACACACCCAGAAACTAAACCGTTATAATCACAGAATAATAATATTGGCTGAAAGTTCAACTTCAAAGGAAATATTACTATATAATACAATTTGATATAATTAAATACCAAGTGAACTTTTGGATACAATTCAGACAAGTAATTGAACAGGCTTAACAGTGTTTTGAAATATTGTTCTCCACATTGAAAAATTATATAAATCAAGTGTCGTTCCATCTTGCATTAAACATAACGTATGCCCGAGTACATTTTTAACAAAATAATCGTATTATTCATATTCAATTATTTTCTGTTGTCCATTTCAGAGGCTGTTAAAGGATTATCAAGTAGGGGAGTTTTACCCCCGTCAGGCAGAAATGCTGAAAGTAAGTGCTATTTTATTTCCTTAAATATTTACTCAATTATTCAATACATAAAGGTGCAAATATAGGAGTACAGTAAGTACAGATACTATGAGGATGTATATATATTTTTGTATAAATTTTCTACATATAATTTAGTACAACTGTTGTAGTTGATGTAATTGTCGCTTTCATATAACTAGAGGTTCTCCAGTGGTCGAAAACTCGACCAAAAATGTGTAATGTACAAAATCGCTTCATTTCACCCTACACTGTAAATAAAACATGTGATTGGAATGTCTTCAATTTGTTTTGATTTTCTGTTTTGTTATTTTGTCACCAGCATGGCAACCTATAAGGTCCATGTTAATATTTTGTACATTTTAAATTCATTGTTTGTGCTTATCTTTGAGCCTATTATAATTTATTAAGGGATTCTACACATCGACGGGAAAATATCTTTCCAACAGTATGCGTAGATTTTCCCTACGATGTACACGAGCTGAGAAAAAAGGTTTTAAATAAACATGCTTGCCTATTAATATATAGATTTGGAGTGTCTATGACTACGAATGAAAAACAGCTATTTTTACATTAAAAATGGAAATTAATTATTGTTGATATGATAATTATAATAAATATTATCTGCTTTGGCCACATTAATTTTTTGTGTAATTTAATCTTTATTCGTCTCCAGCCGTTGGCATTTTTACATTTTGCTCTCTCGAAAAGTAAATGGGTGTAGTTGAAAAGACGGTGAGAAATTAGTAAGATTTCCATCTTTGACATGTAAACAGAGCTCCGTATTTCACATATCATCTTATACTTGTTAATTGTTATTTCTGCAGGTAAAAGAAGAAGCTTGTGCGCCGACTGCACAAACATTCCCTCTGTGTGTGCGAATTTTGCAGAAACCTTTCGGACTCATGTCTTCTGAATATGACATTGTAAGTATGTACTACAAATATATTTTATCTGATATCAGTAAAAATGCTGATATCACTAATACTACTGATATCAGACCTAAAGTACAGATACAGTTGTTTTTACAGTACAGTTGTTTGTGTTTGTTGTTACAGTAGATACAGTTGTTTTTCGCGTATCCTCTCACTACTTTCCAGTTATATATTGGGAAGTTACATTCAGGCTGTACCTATATGTACCAGGAATATATTCAGACTCTTGATTCTACATTACTTGACTGTTTATGCACTGACAGTTTTGAAAACGTCACACGATTTATTAAGTATGTAACGTAAATATGTAGTAGTAATTTCAGCTTCCTAACCGTTTTAGAAACAAAATGGTGGAATATTGAGAATTTTACCGATTTAATTCCTTTACAAATTAATTTTTCAAGTTATTTAACTGATTAGTTAACTGCGTTGCACTTTTGACACTCATTGTTGAACGGCTGTTTTATTGAAGAATATTGCTAGAGCCATTTAAAACATAACCTAAAAATTTGTGAAATTCTACCAACGTTACTAAGAGTAATATTCCACACACAACACTTAAAATAGTCGTTCCTAGAATTTCATGTTCAGTAAATCTGCTCTTGTAATTTATGCCCGTTTGATTATGTTAAGATAATTCATCTAGAAGCTGATCAAAATATATTTAACATTGTAAACGTTATACAATACATTTTATTGGGAATAATGTATTTTTAACCATCCTATAAGGAAAAAAACTCTCCTACTTAATTTATAATCCCTGCGTGTATACTTGTTTAGGAATGGAAGACTTTCTATGAGAATTTAAAACGTGTACACAAAGTAGTTTGATTCAGAATATTCCTTTGGTGGGAAAAGGAGTTAAACGGTTCAATTTGCAAAACTGATTTGCCCTGGTTAAGCAAACGGTGGAAATTTGTTAATCCAATGCTCTGTCATAAAAGTGGTCTGGAGTTTAGAGTTGTTAGTTTGGTAATGTTAGCTTGTTTAAACTCTGGCTATAAACTACAAACTCACTCCACTTCAGTGAATAGAATGTTTAAATGGAACAAACCAAAATAGTTTACACCCACTGCACTCAACGTGTTTATTTAAAAGTGTCAAAATTATTTTTATTTTATAATATGTTTTCTTGTTATTATTATCTGGTTCCACATGCAATTTAGTATGTAGGAATTGTGTATTTCAAATTCACAGAATATATAAAGAGAGAAAAGAAGAAAAAAGAGAGGTCTCTCTTTGAATTTGGCTATTGTTATTTTTTCTTTGATGCTTCTAAATAGTTTAACTAACCGTTTTAAGTTATTTTTATTATATTATATTTTATAATTTTATTATAATACAAAAGTTATATTTCACTATAATAGTAAAATTCAACTTTACAAATACAAGTTTTTTTTTACAAAATGTTACAGACCAAACTAGTGGAGTTCCTGAAATCCTTCGGTTCCGGAACTTCCACCAAAGTGATAGAACATACAATACAGTTAGTACAGACTGGTGAGTATGAAAAGTGTAATAAATATATTATCACCACTTATACATGTTGAGAAATTTAACACTATCAGGCCTTATGTTATGTTAATAGGATTAATATTAATCTGGTCACCTCTTTATTTACCTATATGACCGAAGTATTCCATGAATTAGAATTTACAAGTCTTCTGAAAGTTTAAAAAAATCCTCTGTAAGAGCATTTTTGCTCAAATTTAATCGCGAAACCGATTCATTCTCACAAGTTTTTTACCATTAATACAAGTAGACAACCTAATTCAGAGGTAAGAGGCGTAACCAGTTTTACAGAGAGAAAATAGACGTAGATACATCAAATACAGTTTTTTTTTCTGAATGTACAACAGTTTTAATCAACTCAAATTGAAAAAGGATAATTTATTGAAAATTACAACATTCCCTTAATATCTAATACTGTACCATGAAATAAAATTAAAAAATACTTTACTTATTCAGGCAAAGTTAGGGCCACATCACCCTTTCTTACACTTAACCTGACATGGTACCATAGTACCAAAAAGTTAAAAAAAATTCAACAGTATTGCACACTGTGTAGCACATTGACTGTTCTATTTAAATAAAAATTTTGCTACAGCTGGTTCATACAGGGTTGGTTGCTATTTTTGGATGGATATACCGGACATTTATGATGGACACGTATGTAAAAGAAATGCCCACGAATGTCATTTGATTCTAGTTAATCAGAACAAATTGGCAGAGCAACAAAATAACAACCACATTAGCAAAGATGCTTTGTTAGTGTGATTTTTAAAGTGCATAGTGCTTTAAGTATATCAGATCAGTTTGCATGAATGGTTACGATAAGAAATAACTTCACGTATAACTACTATACCATCTCCTTTGTTACTTTAATAATTTTATTTACTTAATTAACGATGCAAAAATCTAGAGTTAATTGGATTTTGTCCTGTAAAATTACTTCTGAAACACCATTCTTTTTATGCTCTGCCATTTTGTTGGATATTTCTTCCACATTTGTGATTTTGTAGCATTTTAGGCTGCAAAGTTTTCAGTGTCTTCTATGTGACTGGTATATTACATAAACAACAGCAAACTCTGCGTGGGACAAACTTAAAATGGGATTTGCTTTAGTGTTTAAAAGTCAATGGTTTCTTACCTCCCTCCTCCAATGTTCCTAGGGAGATTTCAACAGTTTGACCATGGCCATCTGGATAATTTGGCAGTCTACGGAGCAACAAAACCTCCTGAATACGACTTGACAAGGGTGTCCACGCCTACAGTAATCCACTACGACAAGAACGACATTCTCATAGACTATAAGGTACATAACGCATACCATAATATCAAAATATCACTACATCACTGTATGGTTATATCACTAAATCACTGTATCAATATATAAATGTGAATCACTATAACGAGATGGAGGTGTTCCTAAGATCTATTTGTACTCAATTACGAACGGAAGATGAGTGTAGAAAGATTGAGACGCCTGGTGTAGCTTTTTATATCCTTGAAACCTTTCATATAATTGAGACCAATGTAATCATATGAAATAACCACTCAGGTTTCTAGCTAGAAAATATATGTTTGACAAACTGATTAAACTGAGGGAATAAATAAACGTTTAGTTTATTCGCAAAACAATGTTTCCCCATGATTAAAAAAAATTATGTTTTGCTCATAAATTACTCCCCTCAAAGTAATTCCTCAGTGAACGGCTTTGTGAAAAGATTACTTATAAAATAACATAATACAACAATCAGATATTTGTAATCAAATGAGTCCTATGTTATAAATTGTTTCTACCAATACATCAAATTATCATGCTTTTGTAAATTGCCATACGCTTCTTTAATGAGCAAGATTTGAAGGTACTGACTTATATGACTAAGATCAGCTGTTCCTTTAGCCAGGGACATTTAAATCCACTGAGCTAGAGATACAACTGGGGGTAGCACTGAATGAGAAATTTTCAAGATATTGACCCTCTTCGTAATAAGGGCAATAGATTGAACCTTTGACTATTTCAATGATTATAATTAGTTATTTTGAACTAGGGTAGTAGGGGATAGTGGGATTGTGTAGGCCTAAAATAAAGGCATGAGCCAGTGTGCTGGTAACCTTAGTTGGTGCCAACAAAACCAAATTTTACAGTCTAGATTGTTAAGCAAAGTTGCCATGTCGGTGATACCCAGCGTTTAAATCCAATTTCTAAACCAAAAATTTTATTCTTCCAGGCAGTAGACCTGGCAGCCAAGAAGCTGCCATGTTTGGTCTGCAACTGCCTGAGTAACCGAGAGGGGTTCAGCCACTTCGGCTACGTCATCAGCAGATACGCTGCGACGTTCGTCTACAAGAAGATGATCAAGTCTATGAGGCTGCTGGAAGACAAGCGTGTCAGACTGAGGAGTCTCAGTTCAAAGTGTTACAAGTCATGACAGTGACAGGTGGAGGAATTGCTGTGGATTTCTCATCACAAAGTTAAAAGAAGGAGTATTTTTGGATCTAGTCAGATCTTGTCTTCGGTATTTGATCAGTAGAAATTCGCTATTTGGGTACGTTTGAGACTGAGCAAGGCAACGAAGGAAAGAACATTTTTCTTGGATGAGTTGAGATATTTCAGTACTATCGACTTTGTTTCCTGTGAACACCACCAAACATTCTTCGCTAGGCCTAACGCTCTCAGAAGACTATTGTATAAAAAAAGCTTGAGATGAAATACATGCTAAATCGTTGACGTTTTATGGTTATCGGATGTCAGAACAGTACTTTACATTTATACTGTACGTAAAAATAAAACAAATTTAAAATCTGTTCCCATGGTTGCACAGTACCTGAAACAGAATCGCAGATGATCTAGATGATCTGATGGAGAAATATTCCCATTTTATTTTAGAACCATTGCCATAAAAATCAATATACAATCAAAAGCTGTTACTGGGAAAACACTTGAAACCATAACAGCTACATAGTAATACATTTTTTTGCACAAAATAGGAAAACTACTATCAAACTAAAACATACACTATGTAAAGCTAGCTTATACACAAATGCTCCTCTTTATACTAAAAAAATGTCGAAGACAAGATCCGATGTAAATACTAAAATGTTGTAAAAACCTGTGTTTTACCATTGACTATTGGATACTGAACTTTTACTTTGAGATGAGAAACGTTCATAATATCTCCTTACCCAAAATAGCTAACTATGAACTGGATATTATTAAGAGTCTACATTAATTGGGATTTTCTGTTATAGACTAAAGACTTGAAAATATAATGGTAAATATGTGTCTGGAAATTTGGTTGGCAAACGTCTATGAAATCTGTGTTCAGCAATGTTTATGTGATCAGCTGATTTGATTGTTGACGATTGATTTTGGAACAGCTGTTTGTGATAGAAGGCGAATGTGGAAATAGCTCACTGTTGCTCGGGTTGTACATTTCGAAAGGAATTTATACATGAACTCACTTTTCCACTTTTGTACAAATGTAAACTTTTTCTCTCACTTCTTTATAACTATCTTTGCCTGTATAGTTAATTTACTGGTAAAATTGGCACTGGTATTAAATTGGAGTAAAAACAAGTTTTTTGTCACGTGTAACTTTTAGTTAAATATTTTCTTGAGAGTTTTCTTTGAAAAATCTTGTTAACTTTTAATAAATGATTTCTTTACATCAAAAACAATAAATTTGTTTCACATGGTTTCAGGATGGGAATCGTTTTTGTTTCTTTACTTATAAGTAGAAAATAAGATGTTTTAGATATATGTGTACATTACCTCTAGGTTCCTAGCTTATCTTTTAAAAGTAAATCTTAATTTATTCTCGGCTGTGTATATACCTTCTTTACTCTATGTACTCTGTTATTAAATGTTTTTGAACTGTTGAAAGAAATCAGTTTTTTACCCTTCGTTCTCAAAAAGAATTCAGTAACTGAGTTTATGTGCAATATTAATTTACACAACAGGAGTTAGTCATTGAAATAAGATTTGTCAACATCTTCCTTGTATCTATAAACCTGTTTTAGAATCATCACATTCTGTTCATAAACTAAGAACCAATTACATAAATACTATGATTTCAACATACATTATGTTTAATTTCATTTTCAAAATCACTCAAATAAGAAAAACACTATACACTCTTATGTTAGTGAAAATCTAAAATCTGACCAAATCTCATACTGCTGTGCTGAAAGGATCAAATGGTAATGACCAGATCCCTTCTATTAGAGTAAAGAGTGATAAGGGGTGAAGAGGAAGAGGGTAGAAAGGAGGGGGGGGGTGAAGTGTTAAACCTGATGAGATTGGTGGGGTAATCTCTACTCCGACACCTAATACATGTTTGCCCTCAACGATCTTGTAACATGTTGAGATTCAATACTGGGGAGTATTTTTAACAATTTTTAAAATTTGTTTTAACATTTTATTACTGCACAATACGAGCTGCACTTTACCCATGATATGCAACGGGAAAATCAAATGCTTTAGTTTTTCTGTATTAAATAATTATTCATCTATTATTCATTTTAGAAACATAACTTTATTTGACGACTTAGTGAAGTGGAAGTGAAATTCTATCCTTTATAAACAACATTGAAATAAGGGCTTTAATAACAGCGCTCATGGCAGTGTATGAGTGGCACTGTTGTGCATTTAAAAATTATGTAACTCTATGATTTAATTTGAAAAGATAAACTGATTTAAAAGTGTAAACCTACTTCAACCCCTACTTACATTGATGTCAATAAATCCAAAACAATCTAAGAACATACCTAGTTCATCAATAACACAAAATACTTGATAGTGATGCTCCGTGAAAAAGTGTTTTACCTTAATTCTTCGATTTTAGTCAAGCCTCTTCGCCTGTAGTTTACCAAAACTGTGAGAAATCTTCCACAACACTTTTACTACCTTTCTTTAACTAAACATAACACAACACTAAATAACACACAAATCTCCAAAATGTAAATAAAGCACCATCAAAAATATTTCGAGTAAATAAACAAATACATGTAAATTGCATGAACCAGCTGTTTCAATAAAATAATTTCAATCTAAACGTTGGAGGCTTGCCAGGCATAGCCCTTGGGAAATTGGCCTGGGGGTAGGGCCCTTAGGAAATTCGTTCATACCAATACTTCTTGGCAATCTACACACTCTAAGCTCCATTTGGATGTGTATTATGCCTGTATTTTCATTTGCTAAAAGGTCTTAACCGGCGACTGGGTTTACAGCAAGGTACTACGCTGGGGTTTAACGAACCCTTATTATATTACAGATACGTTTAACGAATAAAGGAGCAGTGTAGCCTATGTAATTGAGTGAGATTATGTGTAATAGTTTCAACTATGATTTGACACAGGAAAATTTGATAAATGGACGTATAGGTTAGTTTTCCAAAAAAAAGGTATCACCCATAAAACCATAAGATCTTTAAAAAAAACATAGCTTAAAAACCCCTGCAGCAGCAAAACTGCAGACCAAGCAAATTTACACTGGTCTGGTTGGATTTTTACAAAATACCTTAAACCTGTCAGATGTATTCCCTATTTTAATAACATTAGATTTAATAAGTATTACAGAGTTAGAGTGTGTTTTATTGAAGTGTTAAAGTGTTAATAGCTTAGTATGAAATAAACAATTTTGTCAAATTAAATCAAAATATATCACTAAACAAGCAAATTACAACAATTTATTTCCTTCATAAAAATAGCATAGGGATTAAAAATTGAATATCATAAAAAGTTTTTTTTGTTTTTATTTTTTTCTCGGTAACCATTAGGCGTAAATCAACGCTTTAACATACTAAATTAACTTATTTGTTTTTAAGCTCTACAAAATAGTTTGGTAAGAAATTGCAAAAGTGTATGTTTTGTACCCACAATTTTGATCCCATAAAACCCCGTTCCCATATTCCAACCAGGCTGGTTCACGAACTCTTTACCCCTATTATAGGCTAATGTAGGTTTTAATGTTTGTACTAAACTTTGTCAATATCTAACGATTTTTACTTGAGTTATCGTGCTAACGGATATATATCATATATTTATTGAGCGGAGCGAAGCGAAGCGAGCGAAGCTCTTATACTACACTCCTGCTTTTGTTTTACAAATACTCCTCCTGAACGGCTGAAGCGATCTGCACGAAATTTAGCACAATCGTATTAACCAACCATGTGAAGGTATAAATCTGAAATGGTACAAATCGGACCACAGGGCTTTTTCTTACGTGAATTTAAACTTTTGGAAATTTAACATGGGCCTTATGGGTTAATTGGTTGCCATGACACTATTTGTGAGATAACAATAAAAAGGTAAACAAGAGTTGCAACATATGATAGTCAACGAATCATCTAAATAGCACATTACAAATATCGTACAGAGAAAAAGGGAAGAATAATCGGATTGATATCATTGAGCATAATTTACTACAAAATTATTAACCAATAATTATGATTGCCGGAATAAGGCTGATGCACCATTGACTTTAAATCATCCAAATAGCCATTCCATATGTGAACCAATATAAGCCGACCATTGGTTTAGATACTGCAACCAGTAAACTTTCCATTTATTTGAACTAGACATACCATTCAATAATGCAGACTTTGAATAGGTAAACTTACTGCTACTGCAATAAATTAGGAATTTATTTAATTAATTCCATTAATATGAACCAAAGATGAAACTGAGTTTGGATACTCCAGGTAGGCATTTAATTTATGAGAACCAGATGAAACATAGACTTTAGTTCCTGCAAGTAGACAATTCATTTACGTGAACTAGACTTATAATTGAATTTAAATAGTACAAATAGACTTTCCATTTATGTGAACCAAATATACCATTGAAATTGGATACTGCAAGTATATATCTCACTTTTGATAAACAGATGTAGCATTGATTTTAGAAAAGTATTGGATTAATATGCTAGCTCCGCTCAATATTGCAAGCATACAAATGCATTGCACACCTAGTGTTAACATGTGGCGTTTTTGACCTCTGGGGAAATCAAAACGAAAAAAGTAAATCAGTGCCGAGTCTTAGTCTTACCGTGCCACCTACAGTAATTGCAAATTGTCTATAGGGAACTCCGCTAAAAACAATGAATCCAAACGAAATGACAGTCCAAGCTATGTAGCGTATTACTCCGTCTTTCTGAAGCTAATGCTTTTTCACAATTCTATTATTATTTGATACGTTATTGCTGACAAATAAAGCAATAGATTCCCAGTACTTGTTTAATTAAAATTGGCTTTCGTTGCACGAGCATTGATAGAAAAACTTGTAGTAAGCACTTTAGTGAGTCAATCTATCTTCTTGTTTATAGCAAGAATCACAAGACTCAACTTGAACTACTACAACTAACTAATGATGTTACTTGTGTAACAAACTTTGCTCTAAGTTACTACAACTACACAACATTGCTTGTTTAAACTTGATGGTTGGAAAACAATGATTGTAGAATAACAATATTGTTAGCAAAATTACTATATAGAGAATTAGCAATTACTGTAGATCCGAGACCGATTGACTTTTTCATTTCGATGTACCCAAAGTTATACTTTTTTTCTCGAATCATCAATATCAAATAGTTTTTGGATTCTTTTAAATTTACTCACATCAATGTAAGCAGGGGTTTGAAAGTAGCCTAAGTAAGTCTACACTTTTCATCAAGTTTATTTTATTTTTTAATTAAATAATAGATAAAATAGAAGAATTACCTTATCCAACCACAGTTGCTGGTATGACAACTAGTTTCGTTACTTAGAACTTCGTCAGGTCATTGCATGCAACCACATCATCAATGTATTAATACATTGTGGCATGCCAAAAGATTCTTTAAAACACTGTCAGAATCACAATAGTCAAAACTAGTCATGTTGTTCAAATTATTAAAATTGAATAAAAAGTTATCAAACTGGTTAAAACTGTAAAGGCTGGCCAGCACTGTCTTATCACTGTCACTGATACCAGTGATTACCAGCAACTGTGGTTGGATAAGGTAATTCTTCTATTTTATCAATTATATATTCCAACCAAGGGTCACAATGAATAACATAAATAATTGAGTTACAATATTCGTTATCGTACATCGGCACAACTTATACACTGTATTGGTTGCCTGCGTACAATATGTGAATAAACATCTTAAAATTATGATCAAATTGAGTAAAAACATGTAAACCTAGTTTATTTAACAATTTTGCGAACCAGGATTATTAGAGTAATTTTAAAATTTCAGATTGGACCAAGTCAATATTTTGTTGTATCTTTTATATAGTAGTATATTTTTTTTTGTTTTTCTTTCTTAGGATTTTTAAAGGCCTATTCTACCTTTAAACCTTTGAAAACATTAGGTTTTACAAATATCGGTTGGACAAATTCAACGATAACATGTTTATGTAAAGAATACAAAATTTGGATATCTGGTTGACGAAGCGTTTTCAAACTAATCAATGGTTTATTTTCTCTTCATTTCTAGCCATAAAACCATTTCCC